TGGCTCAGTTGGTGGAGGGTGCGGCTCTTGATCTTGGGGTCGTGGGTTTGAGCCCGGCGTTGGGTGTGGAGATTGCTTAAAAATAAAATCTTGGGGCGCCTGGGTGGCGCAGTCGGTTAAGCGTCCGACTTCAGCCAGGTCACGATCTCGCGGTCCGTGAGTTCGAGCCCCGCGTCGGGCTCTGGGCTGATGGCTCAGAGCCTGGAGCCTGTTTCCGATTCTGTGTCTCCCTCTCTCTCTGCCCCTCCCCCGTTCATGCTCTGTCTTTCTCTGTCCCAAAAATAAATAAAAAAACATTGAAAAAAAATTAAAAAAATAAAATAAAATCTTAAAGGGGGTGCCCGGTGGCTCAGTCAGGTAAGCATGGTCAGGTCTTGATCTCAGGGTCATGAGTTCAAGCTCCGTGTTGGGCTCCACATTGAGTGTAAAGCCTGATTTAATAAAAAAAAAAAAAAAAAAAGAAAGAAAGAATAGAATAGAATCTTTAAAAAAAAATTATCAACTATAACAGGGAAATAGAGAAATGAGGGTTTGGAATGTGTATTAGTTTCCCAGGGCTGTCCTAACAAGTTACCACAAACTAGGTGGCTTAAGACAACACAAATCCGTGCTCTCATAGTTCTGGAGACTGGAAATCTGAAATCAAGGCATCAACAGGGTCATACGCCCTCTGAGACCCTGGGGAGTATCCTTCCTTGCTTCTTCCTAGCTCCTGGCAGCTGTTAGCAATCTCCGGTATTCCTTGGTTTCTGGATACATCACTCCAGTCTCTGCCTCTGTTGTACATGGCATTCTTCCTGTGTCTCTGTGCGTGTCTTCACATGGCATTCTCCTTTCTATTTGTGTCCAAATTCCCTTCTTCATACAAGGACACCCGACGCTGGCTTAGGACCCACCCTAATCCAGTACGACCTCATTGATTATACCTGCAAAGATTCTATTTCCAAATAAGGTCACAATTAAAGGAATTGGGGGTTAGGATTTGAACATATATTTGGGAGGGGGAGACACAGTTCTGCCCACTACAGATAGCAGGAAGTAAAGAAAATTCTAAAGAAGGCAGGAATAGGAGATATAAGAAGACGCTAGCCCTTCGCTGGGGATATAACACCCAAGGAAGAGCCTCTATCTGGGCCTCCCTGGGGCTGAGATCCAGAACTTTTTAGAGAGAGCACAGAAGTGACTGGGGTGTCACCTCTGGTGGAACATCCTGGATATCTTCCCTCTGGGATGTCAGGGGAAACTAGTCACAGGAAGGCATCTCACCAGAGGCACTCCACTAGGAAACTGCAAGAGGCACATCAGGGAGAGCTTCTGGCCACTGCGCGCTGGTGCTGGAGAAGCCGCAGGGACTGCAGAAGCTGGGGGCTGGGGAACCCACTTACACGGCAGGAGCTTGACCATAGGGCTCATTGGAACCAGGAAGAAAATCCTTTCTTCCTGCAATGCCTCCCCAGCTGTCTACTGACAATTTAGTACGATGCCAGCTGGCAAAGAAAATATATTTAAAGGGCCCAGATCCCTTTTCACAGAGGAGGCAAAAAGAGTGAATTTGGAGCTAAGTAATAAATTGGTAACTGATAACAGTGACACGTCATTGTTTCAGATATTAGTGGACACTTCCCTTCACCTTCTTTTTTATTTTTAATGTTTATTTATTTTTGAGAGAGAGAGAGAGAGAGAGAGAGAGAGCTTGAGTGGGGTAAGAGCAGAGAGAGAGGGAGACAGAATCCAAAGCTGGCTCCAGGCTCTGAACTGTCAGCACAGAGCCCAGCGTGGGGCTTGAACCCACAAACCATGAGATCACGACCTAAGCTGAAGTCCGATGCTTAACCAACTGAGCCACCCAGGCACCCCAACCTTCTTTTTTCTTTTTAGGTGTATTTATTTATTTTGAGAGAGAGAGAGAGAGAGAGAGAGAGGGGAGAATCCCAAGCAGACTCTGCACTGTCCGTGTGGAGCCTGATGCGGGGCTGAAACTCAGGAACTGCAAGATCATGACCTGAGCCAAAATCAAGAGTCAGATACTTAGCCACTTAGCCAACTGAGCCACCTAGGCACCCCTCCCTTCACCTTCTTGATTCTCTACTTCCCCCAACCTTCTCCCTTCCTCTGAAACCCTCACCATAAGCCCTATCACTTCACCATCAGTTCTTCTGACCTTGACACCTCCCTATGATCTCTCCCTCAACAACAACAACAACAACAACAACAACAACAACAACAACGAGACAAGTATAGAACTGAAGGCAGGTGGCTCTCTAACTGGGGAAGAGGAGTTAGACCATAGGTAGGACCAGCTTTTCTCAGGATTTGCTTACAAATTCTAGCAATAGCTGACCAGAGAGGAAAAGCCCTCAGAGGTGGATCTTGAAAGCTCCTCAGCTGGGGAACTAAGTTGGTCAGGCATGTGCTGCCACCTGGCTGGAATAAGTCCTTTAAGGTGGAGAGGACAGAAGCTGCAGGAAGTAGTAGAGCCCATGGCAATTTTGTGTACAGGGACTTAAACTCCAACCTCCTGGGAATAAGCACCTGTTTATCCCCAGGGCAGAGCATGTAGGAGGAGTTGAACTCTTATTAAATGGTTGATGGGAACCACAACAGCAACCCAAACCTGAAGCTTCCTGTCATTTTTTAGGGGTGGTTCTTAGGAAAGCTCTGTCGCTGACCATCCCACCCTTCCCAATCCCCTGCAGCCACGACCCAACTCATCCCACCCCAGCTGATCTGGAGCTCGGGCTAGAGGCTTCTGCAGACAAAGGTACTGAGCAGAGCTGGCTTGAGGGCCAGAAGGGATAGGGTACTCTGATAGAAAGAAGAGGTGGTTTTTATCTTTTTTTCTTTTTTGACAGAGAGAGGGAGAGAAAGAGAAAGAGAGAGCATGAGCTAGGGAAGGGCAGATGAAGAGGGAGAGAGAGAATCTTAAGCAGGCTCCATGCAGGATCCACTATTAGATCATGACCTGAGCTGAAATCAAGAGCTCAACTGACTGAGCCATCCAGTCGCCCCCATCTTCCTCATTTTACCGGAGACTTCATTTATCAGGCACATTCAGGTGTGTCTTATTTGATCTTTATCTTTCAAGTCGATTTTGAGATAGGCATGATAGAGTTCATTGCTCCCATTTCACAAGTGAGACCACTGAGGTCAAGAATAGTTAAGCAGATGGGAGACCCAGAGTCAAAGGGACCCAGAGTTTGTTTGTTTGTTTGTTTCTTTTTAATGTTTATTTATTTTTGAGAGACAGAGAATGGGTGTGTGCACACGAGCGGGGGAAGGACAGAGAGAGAGGGGGACAGACGATCCGAAGTGGGCTCTGTGCTGACAGCAGAAAGCCTGATGCGGGGTTCAAACTCATGAATTGTGAGATCATGACCTGAGCTGAAGTTGGACGCTTAATCAACTGAGCCACCCAGGCACCCTAGAGTTTCTGAACAATGATGCACTGATGGGCCAACCTCCAGCCACATCACCTGCCCCACTGGAAGTTGTGTGGGGCCTCTTGCCAGTGGATCAGCACACATTGACCAGGCCCTAGAGTGTGTACACAGGTGGTGGGTGAGGTAAGAGTTGTTGAAATGGTAGTCACAAAAAAGGCAGAGGTAACACGGTGAGGCTATCAGGTTTGCTATTGCTGACCTGAGCTTAAGGCCAAGACACCACAGTCTACATTAAACTTCAATTTGATAAACGCCAGCACCCCAAGTTAGGTCTTAGGGCTGGGCCGTCCCTGCCAAATTCTCAGACCCAGACCTTTTCCTTAAGCCTATGTCCTTTGCCATTGCCTGACTTCTTCAGGAGACCCAGAGAATCAACACTCTGATCAGGCATGCTCTACCCTTGAGTGCTTTTCTTGCCTTGGGGCTGGGGAAGCACCTGTTTAAGAAAGTGAGAGCCTCAGAGGGCCTCTCAACTCAACAAGGTTGAGAAGGATCTCCAAGCACTCACAGCTGCAAGCATCACCAGACAGCCAGCCCCCATCCAGGGAAGAGAGAACACTTCCAACTGGAAAAGCTGCTGCTCCCCCAACACCAGAAGCCTCATCGTGGATTTCCAGAGGACCCAGCAGGCTTTGTGTTACAAAGAGAATTGCTGTAGGCTTGGGAGAGCTATCTGGATGAGCCCTTGCTTACAGAGTGGGGGAGTCTTCACTTTCCACACCGGCTCTTGCCGAGTCTGTTCTTTCCATATCATTCTCACTATGTCAATACGTTTATCACGAAGTCCCAGAAGGCAGAATTCTGCTGGGTTGGGCTGCACCTTCATCTCAGACCCAGGATTCTAGGCTTCAGGCTCTCTTGTTCCACCACGAAAATTAGGTACTGGTTTGGACGAGGAAATTCTGGGGAAGGAGAACTAGTGGAGGTACAGGCTCTGGTTAGGCGGTGAGAGCCCCTTCACAGTTCAAGAAGCTAGTACCTGCCCACTTCCTCCCCACTAATAGCCCGACTCCTGGTAAAGGTTGCATGATGCAGACTCTCCCAAGCAGTGGGAATGCACCCTCGATCCCTTACTACTAAGGGCTATTTCCAGGCCCCTCTTGAAAGAAGGTTAGTGGGAGCCCGGAACAGAGAGGCAAGCTGCCGGACCCTACGGAGCACGCCAAGGTGGGTTATTGGTCCCCTGCAAAGGCGCCCCTATACTGAACACTCGGCGTGCGCCGCAGAAACCCCCACACCTCCAGGAAGGTCAACGCCCCAGCCTCCTCCCAATTTTGGTCCAGCCCAGCAGTCTCTCCGGGACATAGCGCAAACACAGGAGCTGGAGGTGGCATTATCATTAGTCTCCGGCCCCTAGTCCCTCCCGATCTTCTCAGCGACGTGGGAACCCGGCTGAGGAATCCCGGAGGGTAACCGGAACCGCCCTCGATGAGGCCTCTCTAGGAAATTGGGAATTTCACATGTCGCTAGCAACTCAGTTCACGTTTACTGGCCTGAGAACAAAAAAAAAAAAAAAAAAAAAAAAAAAAAACCAAAACCGGAAGATGCCCTTAAAAAACGTGGCGGCACTCTAGTCACTACAGCTGCCTCAGTAGTTCAAGAAACTTGGCATAGTCTTCGGCCACTGACTGGCCTTCACAAAACGACTCCATCCGGTCCACTTCGGTTCTTCGAGGACAGAGCTACCTGCCCTCAACTATAATGGCGGCGCTGCCCAATTTGGCTTCTTGCCCCTAGGGAAGATGGCTGCCAGGTGGCTTCACTTAGTTTCTCACCACCCCGGAAGACGGGGACCGGCGATTGGGCGGCGCCCGAAGGCTCCGAGAAGAAGGCCCTTGGCGGTTGGACAGTGCTGGGTAAGGCTGGTTTTAAAGGAGCCGGAGGTGGGAGCCGTCGAAGACCCGGGATCCGCGGGAGGCGGCGGTGAGCGGCGCGCGGGGGAGGGCACCGAGCGGCTGGAGAGAGGGCGGGAGGAGGGAGGGAAGGAAACATTTGAACCATCTGGTCCTGGGCAGGGGAGAGCACTGGGCGGGGAGCCGGGGAGGGGTGGAGGATGGGGTCTGTGGGTGGGACCTCCCGAGATTGGAGTGAAGGGGGTATCTGTTTGACAGTGGATCCCCGGGGATCCGGACTGAGTTCGTGATGCTCAAGCTCGGGCTGCCCCTGTCAGAGTGGAGCTTTGCGGAGCCCAAACTTACGGAGAGGAGGATCCTCGCGGCGTCTGATTGGAGGAACCGCGCTGTAGGATTCTTTCCACAGGGATCTAGTGTAGGGGATCTGGTGGGGCGGGGGGTGCCGTCGGTGTGTGAGAGTATTGCTTCGGAGTTCTTGGCCACTCGCTGGCAGTGGATGAGGATTGCAGAGGGGTCCGGCAGAAAGTGAGCCTCCCAGGACCGGGATCCCAGCTGATCCCGGGGGATCTCAGGGTGGATTCTTCAGGGACAAAGGCCCCACCAGGAGGCTCGGGCCGTGGGAGAACTGGGGCCGCTGCAAGCCAGGTTCTCCCGGCAAGTGCCAGTCTGGGCGCGGGTGATCCACTGATTTCGGGCGACGGCAGCGGGAAGACACTCGCTCCGGACGGCCAGCCGGGGGCGCCCTTTTACGCCCCAGGGCCCCGGCCTGTGGGCTACCGGGAGCCTTGGGCGGACCATGAAGGGCGGAGCCCCAGGGGAGGGGCTGGCCCTCACTCCCCGCTCCCCCGCTCCCCCCCATCCCAGGCTGCAGCCTGGGATCCCCCAGGGACTCCCCGGAGCCGCCGCTTCCCCCATGGACTTGCCCGGGGACTCCAGGTGAGAGCGCACCCCGCCCGCCTGTCTTGAGCACGGGAAACGGGGAGCCTGGCGACCGTACCGGGGAAACCACAGAGCTAACGACAGACCCAGGCGACTGTCTTCTGCTTCTCTCATCCTCCAGCCCACCTGGCCGGCCACGTCTGTGCCGCCAGCCCCTGGCTCGAGCATTATGGGGAGCCAGGAGCCCCAAACGGCCGAGGCTGCAGTCTCTGGCAGCCCCTTCGCCCTTGGAAAAGGCCTCTCGGCGGGTCCTGGCTGTAGTGCTGGAAGATGTTATGGCTGCCCGTATGGTGAGCCCCCTGAACTGAAAGGCCCCCTTCTTCCTCAGGTCCTCTCTTCAGTACCAAGGTGAAAGTAGATCACTAGTGAGGATAATTGAGGTCCAGATACCTCATTCTCACACCCTGCTCAGGTAGTCTCACTAATACTAGAGTTCTGCTTAGCTCTCAATCCAACCTAGATTTGGGCAGAGTCTCTGGTGCCCATTCCCCACTATCAACCCAGCATTGGTGGTTCAGTGGTAGAATCTCGCCTGCCCCACCATCAACCCTGTTGGGCTGCAACCACATCTCTACACTCTTAAGTATGAGAAACCCTTGCTTTCTTCCCGGGCAAACTTTTAGGCTATCCTTGGGAAGCAGGCTGAGGACTTTGGCGCCATTGCACAGATTAGAAAAACTGAAGCCCCAAATAGGGCAGTGACTCACCCAAGGTTACTCTCTCCCTTTCATTTCGCCAAATAGCCAGGGTGAGATTACTGCAGCTCAGGACACTGTAATATCTGGCCCCTGATTCAGTTCAACTCACTTCATTGGGTTCTTAAGTGAATTCTAGCCACAGTCTCTGTCACTTTGATGGCACAGGGCACTGTTAGGTTCAGGGAGGCCCTGTCCAGTCTGACCTCAGTCCATCACCTTGCTCTTGACACTTTCTCCTCAATTAGGTTCCCCTGGTGCCCCAAGAAGAGACCACCACCCCACAACACCGCAGCAACCGCCGAGATTCTGTCCGAAACCAGCCGCCTGCCTCGCCATCCCAACAGGCTACGTGGTCCTCACAGACCAGGTGAGCATGGCAGGATAGAGCGTAAACGGGACACAACTGAACCCCTCTGATATTCCTGTGTCCTTTCTAGGCCTCCCGACCCACTGCACTTATGCCGAGAGCCCTTGAGCCGCACCCACCAGCCCCCTTCTACCCTGAGACGGAGATCAAGGACAACCCCTGGCCCAGAGGAAGGCCCTTCACAAAAGGTGGACTGGGCCCCCCAGCCTACTCTGGTGGTGATGCTAGAAGACATTGCCAGCTCAAGACCCGCAGCTGAGGTATGAGTATTTTGGGGTAAGGATGTCAGGGCTCGTTCAGCTGGGGTAGCTTTTGCTCTGAGTAAGGAGAATATTATTTTAGATGGAAGACATCGAGGAAAGACCTATATGGAAAAGTCTTTGGTGTGAACCCCGGCAGGCCTTTGGAGACTTGAGAGGGTCGGAATGTGGGTAGCTAAGAAGGCTGAAGGGGGCTTCCTTGCCTCCCCCAAAACATTCTTTGTTTACACCCAGGGCTTTGCTGATGAGACTCCCAACTTCATCATCCCAGCAAGAAGGTGAGAGGGCTGGGGAAGGAATTATCGAAATGTCCAGGCAACACCTGTTACCCAGGCAACTAGAGTTAGGGGCATCAGAATTTACTTGTCCAATCCTTCCTTGTAGCACCTTCAGAAGCCTTAAGGGACAGGGGAGGTGCTGGCTCAGGTGGGATCTGGACCTGGAAGCTCCCTCAGCCTTTACCTTCCCCTTAACCCCAGAGCCAAGCCCATGACCGTGGTTCACCAGCCAATGCCTCCGTCCAGGGACCTGGATCCCCCATTCCAGCCATCTGCCTTGCCTGAAGACCCTCTGGAGAGCCCACCAGGAGGTAAGGACTCAGAGGGATGAGATTTAGGGCTCTGGAAAATCCTAGCTGAGTTTAAAAGTATCAGAGGCAAAGGTGGGGGTGGGGCTTAACTCCTTCCCCTCAGGGAGCTCAGTGTGTGAAGCTGGGGTGTAGACTTCAGAGGTCTGAGGTTCAATTCCTCAATTTAGGACTTAGCTTTTTAGGGGTGGGCTTAGACTTCTGTGGGCAAAGTTTAGTGTTTGGGGGAGGAGCTGAGGCTACTGAAGTAGGGCTTAGACACCTGCAGTTGAGGAATGCCCATCTGAGCCTCTCCTTTCCTTAGCCCCAGATCCTGTACTGGAGCCCCCATCGATCCCACCGCCGTCCAGCCTTTTACGCCCCCGCCTCAGTCCCTGGGGCTTGGCTCCCCTCTTCCGTTCCGTCCGCTCCAAGCTGGAGAGCTTTGCTGACATCTTCCTCACACCCAACAAAGCCCCACGGCCCCCACCCCCATCACCTCCCATGAAGTTGGAGTTGAAGATTGCCATCTCAGAGGCTGAGCAGTCTGGGGCTACTGAGGACACTGCATCTGTCAGTCCCCGGCCCCCTATCCGCCAGTGGCGGGCCCAAGACCACAATCCCCCAGCACCTCTTTCTAAGCCCTCTCTGGGCCGAAGCCACTCCTGCCCTGATCTGGGGCCCCCTGGCCCAGATACCTGCAGCTGGCCCCCTGCTCCACACCACCCGAGCCGGTCACGGCTCCGGCGGCACACTGTGGGTGGTGGAGAGATGGCCCGAGCCCCACCACCCCCTCGGCCCTGTCTCCGGAAAGAGGTCTTCCCTCTTGGAGGAGCGGGAGGCTCTCCTCCCCTCATCACATCTTGTTCGTCCACCGCATCTACTTCCTCCTTCTCTGAACCTGCAGAACCCAGGTAGTGCTCTCAATAAACCCTTCTTAAAGCCCTGGCCACAGTCTGGGCCCAGCCTCCTTCCCTACTATCCAGTGGGCAGGAGATGGGGATATTGCTATGAATATTATTTGTCCCTGAGCCTTGACCTTATCTGCAGGTTGGGCTCAACCAAGGGGAAGGAGCCAAGGGCCTCAGAGGACCAGGTGCTTTCAGACCCTGAGACCAAGGTAGGAGTAGAGATGGGGGGAGGAGACAAGTGGGACTCTGAGTCCATGCTGCACCCTTATCCTCTGCCCTGTTTTTGCAGACCATGGGAAAGGTTTCTCGATTCAGAATACGCAGGACACCAGTCCGTCCTCAGCCAAACCTTACACCAATGGGACTGCCTCGACCAATCAGGTGAGTGGCTCATTGTACATGCAGCTGCCTTGGCCAAATAGGTGTAGGCTTGGACCCTCTGAAGTGGGGCTCTGTCTTCTCCCAGGGAGGAGTCAATTTGGTCTGAACATGGTTTGCACTTAGAACTATATGTCTGTCTCAGGCAGCACTCCTGGCCTCAGTGTGTCCCAGAAACTAAAATATAGACCACACCTTGCTTATCCTTTTTTCAGGGCACAATGGCCCTGGGTTTTTCAATGGCCTCTGCTCTTTGCTCCCAGGTTGAACAAGAAGGAGTTCAGCTTAGAAGAAATTTATACCAACAAGAATTATCAGTCACCTACAACCAGGAGGTGAGAAACTCTGAAGGCTTGGGGGTAATAGAGGGAAGGCTGGAACCAGGGGCCATGCTGGTAACCAGCACCCCTCCCTGCCTGGTCCAGGACCTTTGAAACCATCTTTGAGGAGCCCCGGGAGCGCAACGGGACTCTGATTTTCACCAGCTCAAAGAAGCTTCGGCGGGCTGTAGAATTTCGGGACAGCAGCCTTCCTCGATCCCGGCGGCCATCTCGTGGAGTCCGGGCTGCAGCTGGCAGGACCCTTACTTCCAACGTGGCCCCCAGCCCAGATGTGGGACCTCTGCTGCAGCAGCGGCTGGAGGAGCTGGATGCCTCGCTCCTGGAGGAGGAGGAAGTGGATAGGGAGCATCCCCATCGGACCTAGGAGCTCCATCTGTTTGTCCGTCCATCCTGAAGCATCTGAGGCAGTTATATTTTTTTCTTTATATTTCTAGTAAAGTTTTCAATATGTTTCTGATTCTTTTGTATGTCTCTGGCTAAGTTTGAGATTGACTGACAGTACCAGCTGATGTTTTTACTTTGGCTCCCAAAGACTGGGAAATGGGGGAGGTGCCAGGGAAGGCAATGAGGGTTTGATACGGGAAGTGGGGGAATGGTCACTGGACATACTTCCTTGATTTAAGAATTTTCCTGTGTGGAGGGATACTTGAGAATCTGTTCCAGAAGATACTGGCTCTGGACCCTGGGCAGGGTTCTCTAAATTCACTTACATCAAGGAGGAGACTGAAGGACCCAGAGTGGACCAAGGCCTTGATCAATATGGCCCTGAATTCCTCTGAACATGCAGGCCAGGATTTGCTTCTGGATTCAAGAGATAAGAGTAATCAGCTGTAATTGAGCACCTACGACAACCTGTCATATGTACTTGCCCTGCAGATAGCACTATGGGAGGGAATTCTACCCATTTTACACACAAGCAAGCTGGGGCACCTGGCTGGCTCAGTTGGTAGAGCACGTGACTCGATCTCGGGGTCGTGAGTTTGAGCCCCACATTGGAGGTACAGATTTTTTTTTTTTTTTTTTTTTTTTTTTTAAGTAAAGGAAGGAAGCTGAATGTGTAATGAGATGTCCTTGTTAAAATGGTTAACCCAGGCAAGCAGAGGCCAGAAGTGGCATTCTCCATCTTTGGTAACTTAGGGCCAGAACAGAGCAGTGGCTAAGAGCAGAGTTAAGGCTTCTTGAGCCCAAATCCTGTGAAGGAAACTCAATGTGTATTAATTCCCCTCCCCCTCTGTAAAACGGGGCCAATATCAGTAGCTTCCTAAAAGAACTCTTACTGTCAAATGAGTTAATATGTGAGAAAGTGGCCGTGGCCGGCACACAAGTGCAAAGTGTTTCCTATTAGCACGCGGAGACCACTCTCCCACGCAATGAACCGATAATGAGGACGCAGCTTCCTTCTAGCGCGTCTGGTGCTCGCAAGGCATGCCGCGTGCTCGAGCCACCCGGTACCGAGGGGATCCCGCTGAGTTGCCAGCCGCTCAACAGTACTGCCAACGCGCGTGCGCGAGAAAGCCAGGCGGCCTGTGGACTTAAGGCAAGCGGCGGAAAGGGAGAGACGACGTAACTTGCTTTCGAGAGGCACTTTCCGCGGCCGCACGCCGCCCAGCGGCCAAGCGCCTCCTAGAACTTGCGCACCACCTCCTGGCTCCTAGTCTCGACGCTGTCTGAAGACGGGCCAATGAGCAGAGAGCAGGAAGAGGCGGGGTCACCTGAGGGACCGCCCCAAGCGCTTACTTCTAACCAGTCTAGTCACAAGACCTGATGAAGGGCGGGGCTAATCTGGCGTATACCCAATCCAAGATTTGAGGGCGGTTACATATTACCCATTCCCCGGAGTTTGACTCCGCCCTTCGCCTTGACGTACACTTCTCAACCTATCAACGACTAAGCTTGTGGAGGGGTGAGGGGAAAGGGGCGGAGTGTGGGAGGAGGCCGAGAGAGGAAGGAGGCGTAGGCTGAGGAGGAAGAGGGAGGAGGGGCAGGGAAGTCCTGACGAAGAAGAGGCCCAGGACTCCAAAGGAGACAACAGGAGGGTGCGCTGGAGCTACCCCGCTGCCCAGCGGCTGTTCCGGATCCCTTACGGCGCAAGTCAGGCAGAGACGGAGGAAAGGAGGAAGAGACTTTTATGTCGGCAGACAGAGAAGCTCTACCCGTCACCGTTGCCTCACATCCGGGGCTTTGGAGGGCTGGACCCGCGGCCCCGCCCCCCCCCCTCGCCTTTCATGGCGACCGGAGGCGGAGGCTGGAAGAGCTGGGCCTGGAGGAGGCCCCTTTAAATCTCCTTAAAGGGGCGGCCACTGAACTCGGCAGACTACATCGGCAGCCTTAAAGGGGAAGCCATCGAACAGAAGCTTGACAAATTGAGAACTGTGCTGTTGGGAGAGCTGGAACGAGTGGGGATTCTCACCGCCGTTTCTCTCTCACGCAAGAAGTCCTTTAAAATCAGCTTAAAGGGGAAGTGGCCGCTTGTGGAGGACCAGAAACTTAACTCCCGGGCCCTTAAAGGGGCGGCCTGCTGTTTGGAGGACCCTGGACTCCTTAAAGGGGTGGCCTCTTTTAGCCGGAGGACTTGAGACACTTTTAAAGGGGAGGTCTACGTTTCGGGGCGAGCTTTCGGTCCCTTTTAAAGGGGTGGCCCTTCCTCTTCCTCGGGGAGACTTGTCTCGACCCCTGGCAGGGGGCGGCCACTGCACTAGGCCGGCTGGACACCATCGGGTCGTCTTAAAGGGGTCAGGGGCTGGACAACTTGAGGCCTCGCCTTAAAGGGACGGCCGCCCCGTTTTCGGCGTCTCGGCCCCGGCGGCCCCACAGGGGGGGCCCTCGGGCTTGTCGCCCCGGGGGCGGCGCCGGCTCCCCGGGCCTTGGCCTTGGGGCAAGCTCGGGGCCAGTAGATCCTGCTTTAAAGGGGAAGCCGTGGCCTTTTCGTCCCTGTGCAGCCGCCAGCGCCGCGCCTGCGACCCCGGGCCTGCGGACAGGTCGCTTCGGGCCCCGCCGCCTCCGGATGCGGCGCTGAGGGCGGTCGCCATGGAGACGGCAGCGGCCGCGGCTCCGGGCCCGGGCTGGGCCGCTGAGGGGGAGCGGCGGCGGCGGCGCTGCTCGCGCC